TCTTTTCGTTCTCTACTTAATTCTGAATTTTCATAAAATTTGACTAAAGTTGTTTGTTCATTCTCAACTTGACTTTTCTACGTTTAGGATTGGTAACATTAAGGGAAGATATTTTGCATGTTTCTACCATATATATGACGGCTTCACAAATTGAATGGTATACTTTTGAACAATTAATTATATGTTTTTCCATTATTCCGGTCTTTCCAGGTCAAAAAGTTTGGTCACATGCTAAACATGTTGCAACATAATGTTCTTTATCTAATTCATCCCCTTATTCAAAAAATCTTCAAATAGGTTTTTTTGGGCGTCCACCAGAATTGGTGGACTTTAATTTTTTTGAAATTGAAGTTTCGTTATTATCGGACATTTCAAAATGAAAAAGAGATTATCGATATTATATAATCGAGTATCTTGTATAGTGATCATTTATAATAAAATTTAGTTTTGGGATTTGGTAAAAGTTTAGGATTATAGAATAAATTTCAGAAAATCAGAATATGTTTCAGATATCAGAAATGGTTTCAGGATTCGGTGGAAGTTTTGGTTATGGATCAAGTTTCGATTCATATATACTGAAACCCGAAACTTTCGGAAATGCTCCCAGAGGTTTCGATACCCATGTTTAACTAACAGTATTTATTTGTTTTCATTAAGTTTAAGTTTTCCGATAGTTTCACATAAAAAATCACTAATATGAATCGCTTGACCTTATCCTTTTTTTGAAGTGGCTGGACCCATCCAGATTTTTGACCATCATTAGTATGAAACAATGTTTAATCATGAGTAATAAAAATATAAGGTTTATTCATTTTATTAAAAACAGGATTTATTTGAATTTCTAAATCATTTCCTTCAAAGCGTAGCATTAACTTTTCATATCTATTAAAATAAATTTTATTATATTAATTATTTTATTATAAACAAAAATAAATAAATAAAATATAAGCATACTCTGTTATTTTAATAAGAAATTGTTGACAATATTTAACAATATCGGCTCTATAATGTCCATCAATATATATTCCTTTATGATACTTTTTATATCGAAAACCCATTTTATAAAGCCAATGTCGAGCTGTACTTTTTTTAATTAAATAAAAAAAGTAATTAAAAATATATCTTAATATAAAAGTTCAATAAATAAAAAAATTATTACATACATGATTTTAGTTTAACGTTTAATGCCTAATTTTGAAAATATATAATCTGATATATAATTAATAAAATCTGATAAATAAAATTAAAATTTATTTATATGCAAATAGTTAACAATTTCATGACATATGTCTTCACTATTAAGAAGACTTTGATTTTAATATATTTCCCACGCATTGAAACAGGAATTTCTTGATTTTGTGCTAATATACAAGTCCACTTTTGAAGTTGACGAACAAAATATTCATTTTTACCTAATTATTGTGTAATAAAAAGGCTGGCTTTCATTTTTTTGATATTTAATTGACAGCATCGACAATATTAAAGTACAGCTCCTAATCGCCATTTTTGTTTAGGTAATAGAATCTCATCTTGAAGTTTTTTTTCTATAAACAGAATTAACTTTAATAATTCAATTTTATTATCAAAATCACTTTCTATTTCTGGCTCTGTAGATGGTGAATCAATATCAACATGACTTTCTAATTCATTTAAACAAGCATCATCCATTTATATGTCAGGTTTATTTTATACAGGAGAAAAAAATTGTGTAATAATATTGCTATTTTATATGGCCATTTTTTTGCGGCTGCTTTGCGTCTTTTTTGAATTCAGATACTATTACTTATGTATCGAAGTGGTCATTTAGGTTTGATATTTTTTGTACTGGAAAGCAGCTTTTTTAACGTATTTTCAGATTCATTATCAAGTTTAGAATCTGCCATCGTAATCTTATCATCAGAAGATATTTCAGAATCAGATGATAAATCCTCTTCAAATGGAGAATCTTCGACGATAATCAGCTTATTCATTGAAAATATTTGTTTTAAATGTTTTTTTTTTGCTATGACTGACGCCCCATCGTCTTATGAATAAAGTTTTACATTTTTTTTTCTCATCCCTTTTTATAAAAGGTGTATAAATTATGTATTAATATAATTTAAAAAGCAAAAATTAGGAACCTGATCATTTTTTTCATTAAATATTGAAAAAAAAGTGGTGCTAAAGTTTTTAAAGTTAATGCCGTATAAAAAGAAAGCTGCTAAAAAAAAGATTAAAACTTTATTTAAATCAAAAGTTAATCTCAATATAGTTTAGTTCAAAAAAACACTGACTTTTGTGAAATGCACGTGATTAAGTAATGTAAGATTGACCAATTATATTCATTTACTTCAGGTACCAAATTTTATGACACATATTAGAAATATATTCTTTTTCCTCTCAAATTAGTAATCAGATTATAAAAATCTCTTCATTAATTTAAATTACAGATTACAAATAACATAAAAATGAAGAGATTTTATTTAAAATATTAGTATTTATTTTTTAATAACAGATTAAACATAGCTTATAAAATTTACCGTAACTAAACGATATGAGCTAATATAATCATAAGCTTATGAAGGAATCCAAATTTTTATTGCACTAAAAATATAAGATATAAAAATATAAAAATGTGTATCTAGTAGGTTTATTAGTTTTTGAAAATATAAAATGTTAATTCATAATATTGAAATCAACTCAGGAATAATTTGTTGAGTAAACTTATTTTTGATTGAAATATTAAACATTAAACTGTATAAACGAGATATTTTCAAATTAAAGGTAAATTTCATTATAAAAATATTGTAGTTTCAAAATAATTAGCAACTAGCAACTATATTATTCTGAAATCATACATAAATTAGTTCATAAATTTGTCTATTATTTTTTTCATAAATCTATCTTCCAGCTGCTTATTAATTAATGCTTTTACTATTAGAATGATAAATGAGCTTAGTAAACATGTCAACGCACTTTCAGTATGATATTAAAATTTTAATTTACTTAAAAGCATATTTTTTAAAGATATACTATAATACAATAAGAAAATTCAATACCTAAAGATTATTTCTGTCATACCAATTTAAGCTAGATATTTTGTGATATAATTCTAATTCAGGTCTTTTCATGTATTAAAGAAATCAGAAAAAATATTCAGACACTTTTTATTTATTTATTTATTTTTTTTTTTTAAAAATTGGATTTTCTTTGTAAATAAAAACATGCAGCGAACAAAGATCATAAGTAAAGGTAAATTAAATGCTAAAAAGATATAAGCAAACAGATCACATTTTAAATATGTTTTTTCTATCCAGTTTTCAGCTACTATATATAGCTGATTTGATATTCATATTTTTATTATCATTATGTAATTTATGGTTAGTAATCACAATTTTTTTAAAAAAAAATCTCTATCAAATTCCTTATATAGCAATTAACTCCGTTCATATTTTGAGGAATTGGATTGATTAAACTGAAAGACTTGAACTTAAAAGGTTTAAACCTGATGAAATTTTGAATTTTCACATGATGCAATTTTCAGATCTGACATTCTATAAAAAAGTGTAACAGAACCTTTTTTATAAAAATAATATAAACTTGTTTTTTCCTTTTACACAGAATCCTTCTCATGCAAAGATTTTTGTTTGATCTTTAGGTATAGGGTATATTGGTCATTGTTCTTTATGCCAGTGCTTTACAATATTCTATAACAATTAGAAGGCAATCTCATCTAAAAATAGAATTTATCACAATGATCATTAAGATAGTTTTATGCCTATTCTACTCGTTTATATTCATGTCTGTGATCAGCATCAGTATTACTTTTAAAAGATCTTTTTAATATCCAATTTCAGCCAAATGCCTTCCTACTGTCCTATAGAACACATCCACACCTTTTAATAACAACATTGTTAATAGAGTCCTTGTTAAAATAGAAGAATTTCAGCAGACAAATTGGGTTAATGTTCTTGATGCATTAGCCGTAATTTATTTCAGATGACTACTTCTTTCTTTACGCTAAATTGTTTCAGACTCATAAAGCTTAGTAAGGTTATCGTATACAATTGTAAGGAAATTCCAGTATATTGATGGATTTCTCTAGCCTTCTGAATACTCTAATTCTATAATTGTAAGATTGTTTGACGATTAGTTTCTTGACTAGAGGTCATCATTTCTAATTAATCGACTTTGAGTTTTTTTAAAAAATTGAAGATATTGAGGGAAGGAAATGAAAAAAAAATTTAATATAAAGTAATACAAAAAAAATTATATACTTACTTACTTTACGATTATATTCCTTTTTACATTGTTTAGATCAGATTTGATTTGGCTGAGATCTGTATCTTTTTATTTCTCAAAAAAAATTCCAGTTTTTTTTATCCTATACTGTATTTAGGTAGATGCTATATGAAAGGATTTGGAACTGAAATTAACAATAAATTAGCATTTTATTAGTATCAAAAAACTGCTGAAAATAGACAAAATGATGTACAAAATATTCTTGCAAATAGTTATTATGAAGGTGAAAGAACAAAAAAGAATTAGAAATGACATTTTATTGGTATCAAAAAGCTGCTAAAAATGGACAAATTGGTGCATAATTTAATTTTGCAAATAATTATTGTAAAGGTGAAGGAATAGAAAGAATTTAGAAATGGTATTTTATTAGTATCAAAAAGCTGTAGAAAATAGACAAATTGATGTACAAGTTAATCTTACATATAGTTACTATTTTGATAAAGAAACAGAAAAGAATTTTAAAATGGCATTTTATTGGCATCAAAAATATGCTAAAAATAAAAATCAATCCTTACATTCTTACAAGTTTTCATCAGTTAAAGTATTTATAATTGAAATAGAAAATGATATTTATAGTTAATGTAAAAACTGTTTAAAAAAAAGAAGACTTTTAAAAGAATATCTTAAAATTTATATAATTTATTATCAATCTAATTTATTATATATGCTGAGTGGAAATAAAATTTTTGATAAATTTATTAAATATACACAAATTAATTTTATTCAAGAATCTAGCCAAATAAAATTTATTTCTTATAGTCAATTTAAAATTATAGAAATTATTGGTGAAGGGGATTTAGTAAAGTTTATAAGGCTATTTGGAATAATGATCTACCCTATTGGAATGAAGATAAATAAGGTTTTGAATATATTGATTCTAATTCTGTAATTACTTTAAAGTAGCTTAAAATTTCAAAAAATATTACTTTAAAAGAATTAAATGAGGTATTTATTTATTAATACATTTGTAAATATTATTATAATTTTTTATTAATATAAATTTTTGAATTTAGCTCATGATGATTTATAATGCTGAT